CAAATTGTCCTAACATGTCAAATTTTTTAGTAGTTTTAGGCTTCTAGTTGTTTCCAACACATGAGCTGCTCTTGTGTGAATAGCCCAGACCTGCTAACAAAGTAGTGCCAAACTCGAGATTTGGCCAGTTCTTCACCTCTGATGTGGATGGAGGCTTTTTTTCGGGTAAATAGGGGCCATCATTGACCATCTAACCAACAGATTCCAGCTTTGCAACGTAGCTGCTTTCTGGCATCCTCAAACAAGGACATAAAATGCTCATTCCTAATGCAGTCATTTTGCTTTTGCCAACCAGTGGGTGTGCCTGGCCACGTGTACCCCAATGTTTTGCCAACTTCAAAGAAGTGTTACCTAACGCGCAGGTGGTCTATAACCACCAATCGCCAGTATTAATTCCTCATAAATAAACCATCTTTTGTAGTAATTATATATAATAATAATAATAATAATAATAATAATAATAATAATAATAATAGTAATAATAATCATAATAACAACAATAATTATAAATCTGACACTGAAAAACTCACTGTTGACTGGATTGGGATGGCTCTGGCCCCGTCTATAAAATATTAAAAAATAACATAATAACAGACTAAATTTAACTCACCTCCAATCTTCTTTTACCTCTTCTAGAACCACCAGAACTTCGACTAGAGCTCATGCTGAAAAATGAAAATAATCAAAATGGAGGTTTATACTGATGTATTTACTAGAGGGTTAAAATAAAAGGAGGTGTGTCTGTGTCATGCCTACTCTTGTATCTGTTCCAAGGGTTAGGAGTATAACACTACTGTTGGCCTTCTCTTTTGGGTTTCTGGTAGGTCTTTCACTTTTTTCTATGCGATATGTAACTGTAAATAGTGCACAAGTTGTTACAAAGCAAGACCTAAGCTTGTCTAGATTGCCTGCTACAAGTGCTGACAACAAAGAAACTGTTTGCAACACTCCACTGAAACTAACTTTTATAATCTTGTCTTCACCTTTTGGTACTGGAGCTCCAAGGCGTGCTGCAATCAGAAGAACATGGCTAAACTTGTACAACGGATTAACTGGAGTCAAGATTGTTGCCAAATTTGTGATAGGAATCAGAGGATTAGCTAAGGAGAATCTTGCAGTAATGATGGACGAATCAAGCACTTACAAAGATATGCTTCTTTTTGATAATTTTCAAGATATTTATGACAATTTATCATTGAAAGTGTTGTACAGCTTTATATGGGCACATGGCGATCATGATTTCGATTATCTTATTAAAGTGGACGATGACAGTTTTGTACAACTAGACAGATTTGTGACTGCACTGAAGAATATGAATTGTCCAAAGCTACTGTACTGGGGATACTTTAATGGAAGAGGCTTCCCTAACTATGCAGGGAAATGGGCAGAAAAACAATGGACCCTTTGTCCTCACTTCCTACCATATGCAATGGGAGGTGGGTATGTGCTCTCATGGAAGCTTATTGACCTCATTACCAGTATCAATGATTCGTTAGCAGTCTACAAGAATGAAGATGTGACTGTTGGTGCATGGCTTGCACCATTTAGAGTTCATCGTGTTCATGACATTCGCTTCAACACTGAAGGCCATTCTCACGGGTGCAACAATAACTACATCATTACACACAAGGAGAAGGCAGTTACTTTCATACAAAAGCTCAAAAGTGTATCAACTAATAGGACACTTTGCCAGGTTGAGCGTGAAGTGAAGCCAGCTTATCTTTACAACTGGCAGGTTCCCCCTCCCCTGTGTTGCAAGAGAGAGTATGGTATACCCATTCCAAAATAATTAAACTGAAATGCTGTGTATTGTATCATGAACTAGTTATTAGTCTTCAATGTATGCTGGGTTCTTCTTCAATATTACAAACCCTTCCATTATTGGTGTCAATGATACATCTATGACAATAAATTATATTATTATCAATATTATTATAATAAAATTATCCTTACATTCCTCAGAGGCTAACTCAGCACGTTCTCCATGTGCCAACAATACAGGTGTGGTGTGGGTCTGAAAACCAGTGATACTCTTTGGTTTACCAGCCTGACCTACAACATCTACAGCCTAACAATAAAAAGAGGTTTTAGTTAGTAATTCATTCATAGACACCAAAATTATTTCTTACCTGCCCAACCCTGACTGAAACACTAATCGGCTGAAGAGCCTCACCAAAAGTAACAAGCATTCTTGGTTGGATAGCAGGAGTCAAATAGTACAGCATGTAGTGACCAGTACCAAGTATGCCTACATGTGATTTAAATTGAAACTGTAAGAAATATTATACTAATACTCACTATTAGAAGAGTCTAGCATTGCAATGGTCACTGTCAGTAAGCCAGCAATAGATACCAAAGTCATCAGTCCACGATCAGAATGAAATGGATTTAGAGTTAACGTTCCTTTACCCAAATGAGTCAGTCCCTAAAAAAATAAGTAACAATTCCTTTTGCTACATCTTGCATAACTTTCTTACCTGTGCCAGACGAACCATAAATAGATCTAATGGGTCCTTGTGATAAAATTGTGCTAGATTACGTAAGAGCCCTGCTAAACGAGCATTGTTAGTCCCAGAGCCAAGTAGTCCCATTGCAAAGACAGCATTACGAGCAACAGTTGAATCTGAATCATGAGAAAACTTGCTTAATGTGTCCAGAATGGTCAGCTCAGGATTTGAAGTAGAGATAAGAGCTAATGCCAATGGAACAGATCTTCGTATCACTGGCTCACCATAACGCAACTGCAATATGAAATGAATGCAGTACAAAAATAAGCTAGCTTTACCAAATGATTAAATGTCCTTAAAGCCATTTCAGCTCCAATATCTTCCCCCATTGCAATAATTGCAATGCCTAGAACAGCTAATGCTTGATGCGCCCCAGGTTCATCAACTGAACCAGGTTCAACCACTTTCTTTCCTCCTTTGTCATCTTTGCCTTTTTCCCCTTTACCAGTTTTCTCAGTCGCAGTAGCACCTACACGTACAATGTATGCATGAATTTAGTACATACATGTATGTACAGCAAAAAAATCACCTGAAGCAGCTTCAGTATCTTCAGCAGCAGGTTTTTTAGTAGCAGAAGTAGCTTCACCTTTCTCTTCACTCTCTTTGTCCTCTCCATAATATTCACTACACAAGTGTAGCAATGACTGAATCTTTAATACATTTCCAGTGCCTACAGTATATCAAAATACACCATATATACAGTGTATACATAACATATGCGATACTGACCAGCATAAGCACATATATCAAGCAAAACTGAAGCAAAAGCACAGAAAGGTTTGGGTACAACAGCAATAGCAGCATAGCACACATCAACAGCATCTTGTTTACCTAAACAATGAAAATGCATGTACATTTACATTCAATTGCCTTTATAAGGTACTAACCAAGATATAAGAGGCCTAGAGCAAGAGCTAAATAACGAGAATGTGTAGTGGAGAGATCTGATTCATGATCAGGATTCATCATTATACTGATAATGGTATCAGCAAGGTCACTGTGACAAGTACCAATTACAATCATTGCACTAGAAAGAGCTGCTAAGCAAATAACCTGTACAAAATGCAAGTACAATAATGCAATTGAAACCGATAGCAATAATCTATTACCTCAAACGATGAATTGGGGTCACTAAAGACTGGACTTAGCATTTCAAGTACATCATTACGGTTTGACCCACCATAGGCTAAACCCAACCTACATGTATTTGCAAAGTATTACATAAGACAGACATGACAAATTAATTACCCAATAACAGCTCCTAATCTCATTGTATTAGATTCATGGAGTACATAATCTGATAGGAGGGCAACTGCTGGATCACATTCATTCTTCACTCCAGAATTCACAATACCACAAGCTAATAATGCACCAGCCTACAAACCAATAACAAAATGTACAGAAGTTTATTGATCGAGCAACCTTAATGTAGTCTTCCCCAGAATAAAGAAATTTGTCAATTTGTGTGAGACCTCCTTCAACATCCCATAGTAAAACCAGCCCCAGTGAAGCAGTAGCACTGAGCATGCCTACATAAATATACACAAAGCTATATAAGCAATTCCAAAATTATTTCTTGGTACCAAATGATTTGTTTTTATACAGCCACTTGTTGCCCTCTTCAGTTAACAGTTTATCAACTCCAAACGAACAGTTTACAAAACCATTAACAAAGGAACTTGCAAGATTAGCCCGAGCTGAGTCAACAGGCTGAGCAGTACTAAACCCTAAAATAATATAAACATGTAAATAAAATAAATACATATTAACAGTAACCAACTGGAATGCTCTAAATGTGTCTTGTAGATATCTTCAGGTACTTTGGGCTCCATTATATCCAACTGTATTATAACAATAATTATGAATGCCAGTCATTATCATTTATAAACAAACCTCTCTAGCAAGATTCAAGAAGTTAGTATTCAAGTGAGCATTAGCCATTATCTCATGAAGATCATCAGCATCAGGGCAGTCGTCTTCTTCCTCTAGATACAAATAAACTTGTTGTCTTCCTAACATGAATGCCAACTGTTTTTGAACAAGCCTAATAAATACAAATTCAAACTAAGTAACAAGAAATAAATGGACTCACTTGTCAGGGCACTCCAAAAATATTCTTCTTATCTCATCTGAGTCATTAAGAATGAGTGCTAGCCTCAAGGCATGAGGATACTGGTGAAATTTTTGATAGATTTGCAATGAAGTTTTTAAAATAGTTGAATCCTCTGGTTCAGGAACGTACTTCACACAGCTAAGGGTAAATATAGATATACATGTATACTGTATATGTACATGTAATGTATGAGGTACTGCCTCATAAACTATGAAACTGTTTTATATAAAATAGATTTCATGATAAACATTTTGTATGACATTTTATTCATGAAAGTTGATAGTATATGGAAGGTCAAGCTCACCTTGTAAGGTACAGGCAAACCCTCTCATAAATGCTTTCAGTCACATATTTAACAATTTCATTAATACAATCCATTTCCATCAGTAAATCACATGCTTCAGCTTCAGCGTTATGTTCCAAACAATACTGAACAATATCAACAACAAGCTGATATAATTGATCGTCTGGTTTATCTGAAATATAGAAAGTAGACGATTCACTAAGAATACAATCATGTATGCATACCATTGCTCCATTCCTGTGGTATCTGATAACAGAGTCTGCGAATATAAGGATGGCCAAATGAGGATACAGATTCCTGGCTCCCGAGAAGACGGTAGCTTAAACAAACTCTCTCTTGATCATCCACTGTCATTGCTATAACAGATATGATGTCTGCTAGTAATTTTTTGCTCTTTGTTCTTGCAGTATCCTAAAACAAAAAGTATACGTGCTACTTTTAAAATTATTACACTTGCCATTGACTCATAAGAATCTTTCAACTGCTGATAAAACTCTCGTAACATCTTTAATGGTTTTGGTACAGATGTCATTGAACTAGTGGCAACTCTAATCTCAGCACGAAGACACATTAAACAGTGCTCCTGCTCAGAGGCATCAATCTTAGTGGACTAAGAAATTAAAATCAAGAGCTGTATCAAAAAGAACTATACATACCAAAACTTTCTCTACCAATGGAGGAAGTTTTTCTTGAAGAAACTCAGTCTCAACCTCTTCTGAAGAAAAGCGCACACTTAGCAAAGCTTCCTTGGCTTCATCATCACCATTTTCATTGGCAATGGTGAGAGAAGTTTTACCAAACTAAGAACACAAGAATAAGCTCAAATTCATTATGGATTAGATAAACCTCATTTTCAGCATAAACATCAGCATGATGATATCTGAGGACACGTATTACCTCTGTTTGATTATTAGACACAGCTGCATGGAGAGGAGAGTTACCATTCTATAGAAATATAAAATGAACATGTACAAAGTTAAGTCTTCAACCACAAGGCTAACATACAAAAAAATTTATTACACCAGGTTAAATAAACATCAAAAAGATCATAGTACCGTAATTTCTCTACAAATTCAGCATTCAAATTTCGAAAATAAATACTTATTTGGGAGAAATAGTACCTAAAGTGGTCTAAATATTTTTTACGAAAAATATCTTTCAACATCTAATTTCGTCAGGATTCTCTATATTCATTAATGGAAATAGAGTGGCAGGTAAGCAGCAACTTGGCAGACTTTCATGACACACTCACACACCACCATACTGCCTCTAAATTCGTCTAATATAATTATTTTGACTTAATTATTTCCATTTGATGTCTAAAATTTCACTTTCAAAATTACCTGTCCCAAAACAGTGATGAAAAATTTTTAGAGAAATTACAGTAATTTTAATATGGGCTACCATCAATACCTTGCTAGTAGCATGAGGAAATGCATTCTGTTTTAAAAGGAATTCACAAGAATCAGCACAGCCCACAAATGACAAAAAATGAAGCAATGTACCTCCGTCAACAAAATTAACCTAAAATAATTCACATAAAGCAAATTGCTCAATACAAAACACTTACATAATTTTGCTCTTCTTTATTAGTAGTTAACTGCCTATCAATTAATATCTTCTTGATTAAATTACCATCAAACTCTGCCAGGTAAGACTGTGCTACTCTACTTCCATCCGTAGTACTTATATCCTATAAAAAGTTTTCAATTATTTATAATACATAAAATACACTTACAAATAATTTTGGTTGTCTTTCCACAAGTTTGAGCAGCAACTGGTTCAACTTGTCAGTGTCAGCCATATTGATAATTGTAATTGTCACGTGATTAGATTGGCTTATTTTTAACCCTTTACCTCTAAACTTAAAAGCCTCGACTCAGTCAGTCAGTCGACTCGACTCGACTGGTCTTCATCTACTCCTGGCTGGTATGGCCTACGTTGTTCACTCACCCAAGACTCACTTTTCTGATGCGTTCAAAGCTTTGAAAAGCCTATACTACCAGAAAGACTTATGTGACGTGATATTAAAGACAGAGGATGCTCAATTTCATGCTCATAAAGTTGTCCTCGTGGCTTGTTGTCGCTACTTTGCTGCTATGTTCCGTTCAGGGATGGAAGAATCTCAGAAAAGTGAAGTAATATTGCATGATGTGGATCCAGTGGCACTGAAATGTGTACTTGAACTATTTTACACTGGTCACGTAACAATTAAGAGTGACAATGTTCAGTCATTGCTATCTGCTGCTAGCTTGTTTCAGATTGATCATTTAGTGTCAGCTTGTTTAAGTTTCCTAAAGCAGCAGCTCTCTCCTAGTAACTGTTTGGGGATCAAGTCTTTTGCAGGGTTGCATAGCTGTCAGTTTCTGGTTGAAGCAGCAGAGCGTTATTCTCTAGCAAGGTTCACTGAGGTGACCTGTGAAAATGAGTTTCTTGAATTAACTTTTGAGGAAGTTTCCAGTTTAACGAGTAATAATAAACTTAACAGTGAGTTTTGTGTGCACACACAGTGTCCCTAAGTGGAGCCAAGTAATTATATTTGACCCACATAATTAATCCTTGTTATGATCACGCCTCATAAATAACATTGTAATGTAGCACATGGTTAGAAAATGTTTTTTTTTCATTTAATTTTCATAGTTAATTCAGAAGATGAGGTTTTTGATGCTATTAAGAATTGGATACTACATGATAAATCCAGCAGGATCATTCATTTAACCTCGCTTTTATCGAATGTTCGAATGTCACAGTTGTCACCTTCTGTTTTGGTGGACAAAATATTAAGAAATGACCTCATACAGAATGATATCCAATGTCGAAATCTGATTGATGATATACTGATATATACTCATGTCCTTACTGATAGAAAGCATTTGTTGCCTTCTAGTCAACTGCAAAAAAGAATGAGCATATCTGAAGATGGTGTCATTTATGTTGTTGGAGGATTGGGTTGTACTGAAAATTCAGTCTATTCAGTTGAAAGGTACAGCTAATAACACTACAGTATGCAACACCTTACATGTACATGTATATTAAAAGTAATCATGACCTGTACATGTACATTTGATCAGTAGTCCAAAGTATGAAAATATTTTGGCATCAGTTGCACTGGACTTAAGTATAATGAATTAGCTTTTATTATTCATTATATATCAGGTTCGATATACATGATGGGGCATGGTATATATCAGAGCCAATGGATATCCAAAGGAGTAGAGTTGGTGTTGCTGAATTAGAGGGAAAGATTTATGTTTTTGGTGGCTATGATGGAACTATTAATCGTTTATCAGTGGTGGAATGTTATGACATACAAGTAAAGAAACATTATTAATTGAGTCATGTCTGTTATGCATACTTTACTGAATCCTAGACGGAGAAATGGAGCTCATGTTCACCAATGTTGACATGTCGTAGTGCTATGGGTGTAGCTGTTCTTGGAGATCAGATCTTTATCATTGGTGGATATGATGGGATTCATTCACTGAATTCTGTTGAAGTGTATGTCGTCATTGTTTATTACCACTTGCATTCATTTTTTGTCATTAGTTATAGTGTCCCTGATGACAAATGGACAATGGCCCCGCCATTGCTGACCAATCGTAGTGCTCCTGGAGCTGCTGTTGTGAATGGTTGCATATATGTTATGGGTTAGTTATAGCCATTGATTGTTCTTGTTGTTTGTGTCACTTACCAGCTATTGTAGAATTCATACATAATTTACATGTAGCAATGAAGTAGTACCTAATTTGTTCAACAAAGTAACCAAATTCTCTCAAACATACACGTACTTACTTTTTACATATACATGTACATGTACATGTACATGTATTTTCTTTTTCATAATAATTAGTAGTGTAATGGCTGCAAAACTTTTATGCTTCTATTTTTTAATTAGGTGGCCATGATGGTTTATCTATATTTAGCAGTGTTGAGCGATATGACCCAGAATTACAGCAGTGGGTCTTTGTTGCTAATATGAATTCTCAGCGTTGCCGTTTAGGTGTCACTGCAGCAGTGGGAAAAATTTTTAGGTATCAAAAAATAATATAAAATATGCATCTAAATATTTACTTTATTTTTACTATTGTATCAGTATTGGTGGCTATGATGGACATCAGTGCCTGGACTCTGTGGAGTGTTATGATCCTGCCACTAATGTATGGCAGTTGCTTCCTAAAATGATATATCACAGAAGTAAGTTATAGTGCTTTGATTGACTTGGAAAATTCTTTACAATGCAAATGTAAATTATTATATTTGTTTTTATCTCCTTTGTTTAGGCCGAGTAGCTGCAGTTACTGTTGGTAATCAAATATATGCAATTGGTGGTTATAACGGTGTGTCTAATATGAGCTCAATTGAAGTGTATGATATACAGCGAGAAGAATGGTCTGTTGGGCCTCCTATGAGAAAACATTATGGAGCTGTTGGTGTAGCTGTTATCACTTAACATACTCTCATACACTGTAGATTATATTTTTGGCAGAATTTTATTATTGAAAATTATGGGCGTACCTAATTTCATAGAAGGCGTGGCAGCATTCATCACGTGATCACGACTAGGGGAAGAACTGAAGAATGGCAGAAGGTATTAGCGACAACGATAAGGTTAGCTGGCTCTTATAAAGAGCGCTTTGACTTTCTACACCTTCTCTTAGGTACGTATTGCGTCTGGATTCATAAAGAACGCACCACCTGGAGAGTTCAATGAAGTATTTAACGGTAGGACAGCACACTATACTTTTGGTAGTACTATTAATGTCACCTAAATCTGTTACAGATGTTAGAGTCCTTTTGAATAATGACACTTTGCTGAAAGAAGGTGCTTCAAAGTAATGATTGATATTTTGTTGTTTAGAGTGTTTACACATATTTTTCCCTTCTCTATGTTTTTGTGCCTTTTCTGTCTCTTCTTTACCCTCTGCTGTACACAGAGCCTTCAGTGAATACAATATGGATCAATTCACTCCTGTTAAGGTTGACAAGGAGCAAGTTAGTTAACACATTGATGATTTACATGCACTTCCATATAAGGACTTGCACTAATGTATACTTTTCCAATAATTATTGTTATTATTCTGGTTTTAGTTTAGTACTTCAGCAGCCAATGCCCACCTCATAAGACTGTGACATTTTTGTAGATAAAACAATAGAATACATACATATGCATTGAACTTACAGGTGCACTGTACTGTTAATATTGATATTTGTTACCTATTATACATGTGTTATTATTTGCAATACTCTTATAGTACAATTTCCTATTATAATTTTAATTTGTTAATAATAAGATTGACTCCCATCATCTGATATTAGCCATACCATTTTGAACAAGTGTGCATCTGCACATTTTATTTGTTATGAATTTATATTTTGTGTTTACAATATTCCTCAAGTATATACAGTATTATTTATTCAATCTTTTTATTTCAATATCTTTCATATTGCTAGGAACAGTTATGGCTTGTTGTGTGCATTAATTAGAATATGTTGCATATTTTTTAAAATGATGTACATCGAATATGTATGTACATGTACTGTAGAGCTGTTAATGATGCATGTACGTAGCTACATGTACATCTACCTGTAATGCTTTATTGCCGGCTATACATTTAAACCTTGCCTCTTGACCCAGGATTTACGGGCATTAAAATAATGACACTAATCAATTTAAACCAATAATGCTGTATAGTCTTTTTATTTGTTTTTGTAAGTCTAAAGATACATATTTGATGTGTTAACCAACTAGCTACATGAATATTTTCTTTTTTGTTTCACACACACTTTCCTTACTCTAAATATGGCAAACTTTGAACATGCATGTACATGTACATGTACATATTGAAGTTTTAACAACAACTTATATCATACTTAGTCCTTGTACATGTAAGTGTAATGTTTCTTTTACTAATTCTACTTTTAATTTTATTCATTTGGTCTGTAGTTAAAGTTTATGAATTATTTTATCTTACAAATCAAGAGGCTTACATCCATAATGCATGTAGCCATATGTGCCATGTTTTTAGTTAGCAATTTAGAAATTGTAAATATAAGTTTGTGTTGTTTTCTTTCACTTTCAATGCTAGCCAGTGTTTCTAACTTGATGCAAATTGATCGTTGTGTTTATCAGCGTCTCCCAGCCACTCAAATTTCACGAGTGTAAATTCTGCTGACATGAATTGCTGTTATATAAATTATTGAAATGTTAGAATGAGTTTATGTGAATAGCTTAAAGAAACTATATTTTGTTATTTACTGTGAAGAGCTGTTGTCTGAAGAGTGATTTCTGTACTTTTGCCAGTCAGTCCATCCTGCTTTGGGATGAACTTTACCCGGGCAATTAATTTTAAAATGCAGCAGATAGCTTAACAGGAAGGAAGCTATGTGCATCATGTATTGTATACAAATAAATGGCAGACCTATCTTTTAATTATTGTAGAAACTTGATTTTAAAGTTAAATCTACATGTACATGTAGTTCCATGCAATCTGATGTTTTACTTGTACTTTTATAATAATTTAGCAATATTAATGTGACTACATGAAAGCTTAAGATGTTCATTTACTTTTTATTACTTAGGTTTTGGTTACAAAGCATGGAAGAGTTGATGGCTCCAGTTCCAGATTTCTTGATCCAAGAGGAAAGCGCTCCTTTCAATACGATCACTTAAGAAAGGTACGGCAATGGTAATGAATATAAGTACTTAACTGATGACAACTGTAGGATGCAAGTGATGTTCAACCTACTTCTGTTGATGAGGCTGCAGAAAAGTTTCGTTCTTCTCTTGATTCAGCATTGCAAACCTATTGCAAAGAGCATTATCCTGATGGAGTAGTTACTGTAAGCCACTGCTAGGTTGTGTAAAAGTTGTGACTTGGCAATGCATGGTTATAGTACCATTAGAATGGTTTTTAGGTAGTTTAGCGAAATCAATACAAGCCGGTCACAGTAAGGTTGCTTTTTTATTTTATTCAAACTTTCATTTTTTAATTTTCAATGGACATTTAATGGCATGTTTCATGCATGAACCTTTTAATACAGAGTAACATGCTTAGATTCTTTTAAATCTTATTTTGACCAAGAGTTAGTTATGAAAAGGCATTTAATGCATCATACCAGTCTTGTGTTGACAGTTTATGCAGTTTATGTTTATTCTTGCAGCAGTTGCCCATATATGGTCATGACAGAAATCAATGATATTTGATGCGTCTCAGCATTCCATTATTATGAGGTGTTGTATTCTATACAACCCGTACATGTACATGTACATTACTTGCCTACCAAATTACTAACACAGTAGTTCTGGTGCTGTACATGGTAGTGATAGACGGTACATATGTACTCCTTTCTATTATTTTTAGGTCTATGGGTCATCGTCAGGTGGAAAAATTAATTTAATAGCTTGTTTAGAAGATCACAAATTTAGTCCTCAGAACTTTTGGTAAGTCACATTGTAAAATAGTTCATATTAATCTTTGTCATTATCATTACACAGGAATGGTCGGTGGAGGTCAGAGTGGCGAGCTAGTTTTTCACCAGGTGGTTCAGGTCAATTGGAAGGTGAAATAAAGGTCCAGGTAAGCAGATTAATTATAGCTCTCCTGATTTCATTCATGCATCATGCTATAGGTACATTATTATGAGGATGGTAATGTTCAATTGGTTTCGTTCAAAGATGTCAAAGAATCCTTCAACTCTTCCGTGAGTATTAACTATCACTTTTAACGATAACAATTATTTATATATAGAATGAAGACGGTACTGCCAAAGCTATTATTAAAGTCATTGAGAAAGCTGAGAGTGATTATCAGGTCAGTGGTGGCATTTCTTAATGTGCATAACGTATCATTATCATCATCACGTAGAGTGCCATTGGTGACAACTATAAAACTATGAGCCAAACCACATTTAAAGCACTTCGTCGTCAACTCCCTGTCACTCGCACTAAGTTTGACTGGAATAAGCACGCTGGGTACAAATTAGGTGTCGAACTGAAAGGTGTGACATCCAATTAATGAGATGTACACAATAACTCCTCCTTATATGTTGACATAGCTTTTAGAGTTGATTTCTTTTAAAAAGTTTGTTTTTTTGGTTAGCAATGGATTAAGTGTTTCATTAATGTGTGTTATTTCTTAGATCTTGGTTATTATTATTATTATTGTTCTTATTAATATTATTATTATGCTATTCAAAGAAAGCTCTTTATTATTAACAAAAAGGCAAGATAATTTGCAAAAAAGACAAAAAGTAAAAGGAAGCAATTAAGCATCTACATGTACATAGAAACTAGTGTTCATACAGTGTATGTGACTATTTTACAAATCATACATAACATATTGTTCTTCACTGTCAGTATCCTCATCATCTTGGGCATTTTTCACAGGTCCTTCATCTTTGGCAGGTAGTTGATCTCCACTAGGTACTTCATCTTTCTTTGTGGCAACTGGCTCAGCTTTCTTTAAGTCCACAGTTTCTTTTGTGACTGATTTGGTTTCTTTTTCTGAAACTTCAGATGCACTAGCTTCACCATTACTGGCATTAGGTTTTGGGACATTGAGGGATGCAGTTTCTTGATTCTGTGCTGGTTTATCTTCCTTTTCAATACCTGGGGTTGGCTCTGTAGTAGACAGGTGACGCATTGCCACACTTTCTGTTCTGTCCTTCTCATGAATTTCGCTCATTGTTCTTAAATTCTTTTCAGCTATTTCTGAAGCAAAGATATACTTTCCTCTGCCTCTTCCATGCTTTGAATAGAAATAAGCAAAAATGGCAATCAAAAGTAAAACAACAGCTACTAATATTAGAACTGCAATTACAATACCAGCTATTGCCCCTTCAGAGAGCCCACCACTTGATACTGATGGGGTTGGTGTTAAATGCTCAGGAACACCCTCTGTTATTCTAGCTATGCCAGTTGCACCCACCTAAAATGATAACATAAAAGATAATAATTATATCAGTTCTGATTATATTGCATTACTTACTGATTGTGTTAAACTTGTTTCGTTGGCTCTGATAGCTTGTATCACAGTACTGCCAATCACCACATTACCACTTGTGTCACGTACTAAGAAAGCAACTTCTAGCTCATTGTTGGATAAAAGTTGTAATGATCCATCAACTATCAGCACCCCATCAGATGTTATTGCTTGTTGACGCTTTCTTGTTGAAGAAAGAGCCTTGTTAGTTAGTGATGTAATGGCTTGTATAAAATCAGAAATTCTACTAAGGAACAATTCAACCTGTTAAGAAAAGAGAATTCATTAATAATGATCTAAGCATATGCTGATTTGCACAGTACTTTTTTATGGTAAGGCTGCTGGCACAAGCCACAGGCTATGTTTTAAATGAGTCATGTGAATTCACTTACAGTTAATCCATTAAAACGCAAAGTAATAGCATTCCGAACCTCTTCTGCACTCAGAGTTTCAACGCTTACAACATTACCGGTCTATAAAATTTGAAGAATTAAAAATAGTTACAAAATTTAAAAACTTACAGGTATGGTTGGTGATTCTGTTGGTGATGGAGTAGTCCTAGTGGTTGTTCCAGGAGGAGTAGCACTAGTAGCACTAGTAGTGGTAGGGGTAGGAGTGACAGAGATAGTGTTAATGGAAGATGTACTTCTACTTGAAACAGATGAAGTGCTTTCAATAAAACTGACAACACTAGTACTTTCACTAATAGTGCTAAGGATAGTTTGAGAAGCAATGGATGAAGTACGACTACTGATGGAAGGAGAACTAGTAGATGCAATATCTACAGAAGTAGCAGTAGCAGTAGAACTATTAGATGCAATATCTATAGAAGTAGCAGTAGCAGTAAAACTAGTAGATGCAATATCTATAGAAGTAGCAGTAGCAGTAGAACTAGTAGATGCAATATCTATAGAAGTAGCAGTAGCAGTAGAACTAGTCGATGCAATATCTATAGAAGTAGCAGTAGCAGTAGAACTAGTAGATGCAATATCTATAGAAGTAGCAGTAGTAGTATTGTCAGTGGCAGTGATGGAGGAAGTTATAAAAGTATCTGAAGTAGGAACAATATCAGTAGTAGGAGAAATGACAGCTACAGATGAGTCAACAATACTAATGATATTAGCAGTAGAGGAGATATCCATGTCCCTACTGATAACAGTAGTAGGGTTGGTCATTTCAATAACAGTAGAGGTGAAGCCAATTATCCCAAAATCTGTAGTACTTTTTGTGACACTGAGGCTATCAATAGTACCACTAACAACTGAAGTGATTGTAGAAAAGGCAACAAGAACTGTTGATGTAAGAGATAGTGATGATGGTAATACGCTGTATACTACTGACTGTGTGCTAGCATGGAAACTTGAGGGCAAACTATTAGTGCCAATGCTATTACCGGTGTCAACAATGCTGGATCCACTACCCATACCCCCTCCACTTACTGGCAGTTCTAAGCATATGGCATATGCGGCCGAACATGGTAGACATTGATCTGTATCATTTGATTGATTGAAGGTTGATCCAGTGAAATTGAATATAGGAGACACACCATAAGTTATTATATTGTTACATTGTTGTGCTATATCCTTACATACAATGTCATGACAACTATAACCGTAAAATAAGCAAAAGTCACATATTACCAGCAGCTCAGTCACATTGATGCTTTGAAAATAAGACTGACATCCAGTGCCATATGGGTAAGCACCACATGTAGAAATACTAGCATCGGAAGCACAAAACTGATCAAGACTACTGGTTTCAATGATAGGACATCTCGCCAAGTAGTCACTGCAAGTTTGACATGTATCTGCAGGGTACATCATGGCGCAGTTATTTTGATTATAGGCAGAATCACAGAAAAATATGAACTCCTTTGTACAAGGTAGATCAAAGACAGATCTATTGCAATGAAATTCCAAAAGAGAACAGAAAGCACAGTCCTGATTTGTATAAGTAGTGTTACATTGGTTATCCTGTACAGATGATAGTAACTGGGTACAGGTACCTGAATTATTGAGACAAAACTGATTGAAAGATGAGAGAACATCATCAGGCGACACACTAGGACATGTAGCATTGATAGTTTGACAATAGTCACACATGACATATCCATACACCTTCCCACAGTCTTGTTGCATAATTATCTGATTGCAAAACGAAAGATATTGTGTGTCACTACATAATGTCTGTGGAATATATTGCGAGTCATAATTGATGTTAGGACAAGCAGTGACAATAGTGTTACAGGTGTCGCAGTAATCAAGATCAAAGAAGGTATAGCATGGATAGTATAAGAAACCCTCACAGTTTCCAAAAGCAGAAGCATTGGCACAAATTTGTAGAGTTTCATTGCTAAAGGAGTGGCATATACCCTCAGTTATGAAACAGTACGAACAGTCAGAATCATCTCCACAGAAACTTGATGAGTTTGTAATTATAGCCAATTCACAGTAGGGGAGTGCTTCTTGAATGCATAAAGTGTCCAGTTGACTTTGTGTTATATTATCAGCACTCAATGGGCCACATTGTGCTACGTAATATGAACAACCTATACATAGGGTTGCATCGTACTTCATGAAACAGGAATTCATGTCACTCGATAACAGCTGACAATAAAGTGCTTCAAAAGTATCACATGTTAACGTCTCATTACTACCAGACGATTCCATTCCTTCATTTCCATTATCACACGACGAGCAATTTGTATTATTATTGCATGTCATTCTTTGAAGCAAGCAAAAGTCACAATCTATTTCACTGTCACTCGTCAGACACCTTCCGTCTGAATAAACAAAGTCATTACAAATAGAAATTGAATCAGAGGAGCAAAGTAAAGATTGGCCATCACTACTGCTGAAAGTTTGTGTACAGTTTCTTGTAGCAAATGGACACACAATGCAAGTATAATTTGAAAAAACTTGAGAGCAAAGTAAGTTATTAGTACGCTCATAATCAACAAAGTAGCTGCACAGTGATAGAAATGAAGGTCTTTCACAAAATGGAGGAATGAATGTTTGACTATAGGGATAGTTGCAAGCAGCAAGTGAGTTGCTACAGTTGGAGCAATAATTTGTGTCATTTAGCAAGTAGCATGGAAAGTAACCATAATCAACGGCACACATTTCAATTTCGTTTGAATTACAAGGAATGGTGCCGTTTCCAGACTCTGTCACATATAAACAAGTGTCTTGTGTTGCTTGACAATAGTTACAGGTGTATGTTGAAACACTGGAACAGTTTGTGTTTGTCAATGTATGCGGACAAGATAAAGCTGTTTCTGATTCACAAACAACATTTCTTTGCAAAGTAGAAAGATTTTCAATGTTACCACAGTCTGAATAATTAGTCTTACATTCAAGGCAAAAATCAGAATTGATGCGAGTATCACAATTATCATCACTATTAAGTAAACGGCAGGTTAAGGCTATGTCATTGGAGCAAATTGGTAATGGAGGACAAATTCCGTTGTTAACAGTATATTTGCAGTAAGAACAGAAGGTGGCATTAGAAGCAGTTAAATTACAGAAGGGCTCAGTGTCGTATAAGAGACAAAGTCTGGCATGATTAGAGCAAAGAGTTGCGTTTTGTGTGGAATTAAGACTAGATGGCGATAACGAAGAGCATAACGCTTGTATATTTTGACAATAACTGCAAACTGTACTACCAAAATCATTGATACAATTAGAGCCGTTTGGTAACAGGCGGCAAAATAAAGAAATATAATTTGACTCACACATTGCATCTATTATTCCACTGCCACCCCCAGATCCACTATCAGTGGTAGAGCAATTTTCACAGAAGGAGCAATAGTCTGAGCCATAAGTGTCAACGCAAGGCAACATCGGAGCAAAACGAGTAAGAGAAACATAAGCAGCACATAAACCAAGTGTACACTCGTTTGATGGACAACGAGTACCATAGCTGGCGATTGATGTTTCACAGCCTGCTAAACATTCTACACATTGAGTGCTATTGCAGGAATCCAAAAATATTTCGCTTCTCTGCTCATTGCAGGATCTCGTCATAGAAGGAGTAGGACATCTAAAAATGGGTAAATCTTGAGAGTTCACTTGTGCAGTGAGGGTCAATGTGCACAGCAGAAGGAGGAAAGCAGCATCCATGCCTGTTGTGCAGAAAAGGGCGAAAATAGCTAAAGCTTATCACGTGGGTGGTGAAATGACGTCATTAACATTAACAAAATTAAAATGATGTATTAACATTAACCATAAAAATAAATTAGCATTAAATTTTAGCAATGAACTAATAATAAAAGTAAGATCTCTATTCATTATTTACTTCATTTGGTTTAGATATGCTTGGTTACCTAAAACCACTGATGAATGGCAATCCAGTTCCAACTTTCTCCTGATAGTCAAGATACTCCTGACCAAAAAAATGAACTAGACTCTCTTCTTCACACATTATCCTATCACGAAAGAACAACCAAGAAGCAGCTACATATGCCACAGCACACACAGGATTACATAACACAAGCTGTGTGCCAAAACTCCAGTAAAACCAACCAACATACGATGGATGACGAAAAAATTTGTACACCCCCCATGTAACAAGTTGATGTCCATGACGTTTGTAATATTGAATATTGTGAGTAAAATTTGACGTTGCAGTGAGCATAGCTAGTTTTCGTAAAGATTCACCAAAAACAACCAAAGCAATGCCCAGAAAACTTATAAAATACAGAGACTTAATCCACGGCCAGTAATAATACTCCAAGGCGTATTCAATCCAGCTAGCAACAGCTGCTATAACATACTCTTTACTATGATTAATAAGAAATGAATCTAGGGAAAGTGTTCTTGGATTATGAATGGCTGTGATGACATATTCTGAGCAGTGAAAGAATGAGAGTGATATCAAGTAGGCCCCCACATACTGGATCCCTGATTCACTTTCAAACTGAAGTATCAAGATACCCAAACCAAACACAAATCCTAATAGGTGAGAGACAAGAATTACACGACTGATACGTACTGGGTTCCACAGGGACAGAAGTGTGACAACACAAGAAGCCTCTATGATGATGAAGATCACACTAGATATGGAAGTCCACAATACCACCAGAAGTATTGATGTTATGGTAAAAGTAATAAAAGCTAGCTGTCCTTCATACACGGGAATATAGTCTGATATATCCATGGCCTCGATAAACACCTTGGATTTCAAAACAGTTGAAGACTTGAAGTTGAAAATTGAAATTGGAAAATGGGCGAGTCAAAGTGGGTGTGTTCATAGTGTGTTCATAACTATTAGACCACACCCAGACAGCCAGGACACGTGTTCCAAGTGTAAAAGAGATGGTAAAGAAAAGTAAGTGTAGCCATCGTTAGTTTGTCATTTTACTTTACTATGGTCCTATAGAAAGACAGAGCAAACGTCTACCGGCAGCTAAACGTTACAAGATTGAGAGAAAAGTTAAAGAGCATCGTCGCAAGATGAAGAAAGAGGCTAAAAGCAAGAGCAAGAAATCTTCTAGTAAGATTGCACGTGTTAGTGCCTGTTCGTAAAAAATCCAAATTTTTATCAGAATCAGTTTTAAAATTTATACAACATGTGAAATGTAAATGTATTAGAAAAATGGAAAATTTTTAGTAGTGATTTCTAAAAATACCCTGTATATTTGTCAAATTTTAAAAATTCATACTACATGAGCACTATGCCGAATCCTGTGTAAAATCTTGATGTAATCCTTTCTAGAACAAAATTTTTTCTAGTGAAATATACCCTTATACATTATCATCTATTTGTACTTGTTATAGAAAAGAAAAAGGATTCTGGTATACCCAATCTTTATCCATACAAGGAAAAGCTGTTGAAGGAAATTCAAGATAAAAAGGAGAGGGAACAAGAAATACGCCAGAGGCAGAAGGAGCAACGTCAGCAAGAGCATCAAAAGAAACGTAATCTTCAATTATTTCAGGATGACGTGACTCAAAGAACTAGGGAGTATGAAGAGAAGGTCAGTATAATCCCCCTCCATTTAACATAGGGTAGAGAGTCAAGTAATTCTTATTGTTTTTGCATAAAAAATTACAGAAATAAACTGAGAGAATCACATTACTTATAATTCTCCACCCTATTCTATTACTTCTCAATCATTGTTTTATACTTGTTGTACTAGTTGTACTGTAATAGCTGCGTTTAGAATAATTATATTGCAAAATTTGCAACCAGAAGTGCACTGGGTAAACACATGAATAGAGCAAAGTTCTATTGTTGGACTTACCATTCTGTTAGACTGCACTCCTAGTCTCAAAGGAAATATTCTGAGCCCATTTTTAGACATAATTGCATACTGTATACTTATGCCAAATTGTACAAATATAAGTAAAATTATACCTACCTACTCCATACATCAATGCCAGCTTATAAGTAAGCCTGGGGTTTATAAATATGTACTGGCCAGGTCACTGGAATCATGCCACTTGGAAGTTGGAACTAGCCATATCCTCTTCTCTATCTTGTAGGATACCCTCCCTAACAATTTTGAGTTTTGGGTTTAATATTACTTTTGGTGGTGAATATTGTTACACCATTATATAAAATGTTAAATTAATTACTGTACGAGGTAAAATATAACTAATGCCAACTGATTATAGTCTTAAGGTCCCCCATATACTAGGCAACATGTTGCTTGCAACATTTGTGGTTACTTGTGATCTTGTAAGCAACATGTTGCCTGAAATAGAACAGTGGCAACATGTTACTTACAAGATCATAGTACAAATGTTGCAAACAACATTTTGCCTAGTGTATCGGAGCTTAGTTTCGCCCCGTCCCTTCACTACATGCAGAGGAAGGGTCTGGAGACACTTCCATCTGAAATGTGTGCAAAGAAGAGCATGTGGTTGGCTCTACATTATGGGAAAGAGGAGACCATATCAGTCAAAACAGCTAAAAGAGATCCTTTCTAGCTAAAGAAGACAAGGATAAAGCATCTGCCTCCTTCCTACCTTTATTTGGTCCTCATTCTTCCTTCCTCTTTTGTCTTAAACAGAGCTCTTCGGTCACATGACTACTTGTTCTACACGTTGTTCGAGCAATCTGATTGGGACTTGGATTTCTCTGCATATTGCACAATTTTTTACTACGAGTGTCTCCATACAGGTAGTGAAGGGGCGTGGTGAGACTAATGGGAGCCTTTACATACTATAAAGTGTAAATCTGATAATGTTAGCAACCACCATTGTTAACGTTTTCAGAAAAGGCAGAGTTTTAAACGAGAAGGTGCACTATAAAACTGTTAACACAGCATCATCAAATCGCTTCTGTCCTTCACGTACAGTATAAAAGTGTATGCCATGGGCACAGTATGGAGGCCAGATTCAAAAATTAAAAAATTTCTGTCACAGTTATCATGGTCTCTTTCAGTAGCATAGCTCACCATAATAACATTAAAATTGTTAAAGGCAAGGCTGTAAACCCACAAGCACATGTAGAAAGACATGGCCACAAGCAAAATGGTACAGTTCACTTGAAGTCATAATAATAACTATTATTAAATTTTTATTAAGATGTTTTTTCTGAAGTAATTGAGACGAGCCTGAGCTCACTCCACTCTAGCAGTAATCTCAGCCATGCCCAGTCTTTCTGTCTGTCCTCATACGTCACCCCCATTTATGCGTAATATGGTAGATACTATACATTATCAATGCAATACGAAGTCAAGTTTCAATTTTTCATTGAAAGTGGGAGTGCGCACAGTAAAATAAAATGACGACCAACACACTGGAAGAAATTATGAGTTTTCTATCAGCAATATAAGGCAGATATACCATCCAAAAACTTCTCCATCAGCTATGAAAGGTTTAGATTCAATTAAGAAGCTATGAAACTTGTCCTTATTGCAGCAAGGAAGCTTAAGAAAGCAGATATTCGATTCCATCTTCTTCATTGATGTAAATAACTGATGCCAGTCACAACTCTGACACTTCAAGTTCACTTGCCCTTCAGTGGAGAAGCCTAACTTGAAAACTGCATGGCTACAATTGCTGATTTAGCTATATCACTTGTACAGTGACTGCTTCTAAATGCTTGCTTTTAAATGCTGTAAGCAAGGTGACCGTTTAATTCCTACAGAGATTTACTAGTGGAGCCAGAACTACCAGATCCATCAAGATCTGAGCCTGCTAAGTTGCACTATTGTTAGTCTGTCATCATCTATTGTTTGTACATTGCTTTGCTTGCTTAGGCTCGCCCCCATATTGTTCTACATTACTTCTAGTATATTTTGAGAGTCTGTGACAGCCTAACATAAGCAGTCAATGATGTCATTAGGCCGGCTATACAAGCTAGTTGTGAAGATGTAGTCCTCCACCTCTACACAGTGTAGGAGGGAACTGAGCCCTTAAATAAACATTTTTAAAAATAAATACAAGACAAGGATACTTAGGAGGTTAAGAAATGAGAAAATAAAGAGCCTAATAATGGAAAGAAATGAAAATAATAAATAAGATATAATGAATAAGTTAGGTAATGGTGAGGCAAGCTTCAGAGATGGCTCTACAGAAGTCATTAGAATCAATTGATTTCATTCTAGAGCGTGATCCCCGTAAGCATCTGATTGCTGCCTTGAGAATTGCAAATGAATATCGGCAACGAATCAGATTGATAGTGGTGTTGTACGGCCTCTGGAACTTCTCCGAATGAAGAATTGCCAGGCTCTTAAAAAATAAAGCAGAAACAGGGCCAAACCCCCAAGAAGTTGTGAATATCATTGGTGAGAAACAGCCATGCTCAACCTCTCTAATCCTTGGCCGATATTTTCTCTTCTTTAGCAATTCATTGTCCCTATAACACTGCCTGAGAGACTTGGATTGCCACTACAGCCATCAATCAGCCATCATCTTCAACAAGTAGCTCAAGTACCTGGCCCATTGGTCTTTGTCCTCGTCCACATCTTTTGACTTGCAGATCTAGCAGTGAAAAATTTAATGAATATTAATAATAATAATAATAATAATAATAATGTGAATGCATACAGATGATGAGGAGCCTCCAGTACTTGGTGGGTACAATATGTGTCCGCACTGCCACCTGGCACTATGTATCATTGAAAAACCACTGTCATGGCTTAGGGGCAGTGCTGCCCCAGTCTCTCCAATGCATCAAAGAGGTACTACCTACATGTATACCAGAAGTTTTAGTCACTACTGGAGAGGCTTTTGAGTATGGGAGGAACCTTAGTATGTGACACTAAAGGATCGAGCCTTCACCTCCAGTGATGACAAGAGGGAAGTGATGTCCATGAGCATTAATTATTACTGTATATTGATATGATTCTGACTAGTAACTTATGTGTATTAGGAATTGAGAAGGCAGTACCCAAATTCACCAGGCGGGAATACACTGACTTTCAACCATCCTAATGAAATAGTTAATTACTTTTTATTTGTGTGTATTCTTAGCAAGTATAATTCAATATTCTTCTTGTTCATCATCTGACTCATGATTCTCATGTGCTCATCATCATCCAGAAAATGTCTTCAAGAACCTCACAAAATATTATCAGCACATAATTTAACTGGTTCATTAGGCCTACAGTTGATCAAAAAATGATAGTAAAAGATATGCATGATTTAATTAAATTACCTTATGTCTACTTGATTTTTCTGCAAATACACCTTCCAGACATTTTTAGCAAACTGGTGTGTCTTCTCAACTAAGGCTTTAAATGGTATACGCTTATCTCAAAGCCATAAATAAAAAGTGGATGTATATTGTCCCTCTCAATATTGTATTTTTACTTTTTATTAACATTTTTATCAAAATAGAGCGACATATTTGCATCATAATAATCATAATAAAATAATAGAAAAAGGGCAAGAGGACATTATTTCACAAATCAGTCTTCCATCCAATTGCCCCAGTCTTCCAATAGTATATCATCACAGTCCCTTTCCCTGGTATCACTAGTATCAGTATCACTGTATAGATCTGATTCTCTGTCAGGAGCTGGAACTCTTATACCTGTAGAGAGTTTCCTCTTCCTTTCTGCATTTCTTCCTTATTTGCTGATTAGGATATGCCTTATTTTGCTATCCCACCATAACTGGATACTCTGATCAGCTTCAAAATCCGTGACACTCACCCTATTAGTATTGATAACAAGTAAATTATCAAGTAACTCATGGCTTAGAGATAGTCCTTTATTTACTTTTATATTCTTATGGTAAAAAACCCTCTTTCCAGTTTACCAATATTGGAAATTGCCTGGAAAATGACCTGTGTTCGCCAGTTATCATGTCTCTGCTATCTTGTCTTTGAATCTCAAATGAATATCATTCTAATTCAGTATTAGTAAGTATCAGTCTTACCCAATCCATAGCTGCTATATTCATTCTCATTTGGAAGGTTGTATAGTCGGTTCAAGTTGAGTTGTCACAGGAAGTAAATCAATTTTTGCATCATCAAAACGTCACTACTAGCCACACCCAAAAATGGTGGTACAGTGCAAGCAAGCTCTTTTATTGAGTGTTTCTTCACCTCTAAGACTCTTTGTCATCTGTTTTATCCTTGCTTTGGATACTACTACCTTTAATTATCACTGGCTAGACCTTTTTCTGTTATAAAGTTGACAAAGACCTCGGATACGGAAGATATCAACCTAGATTGAGGATGATGAAGAATAACTAGAACCAAGAAGGCTGTGGACAGATGTAGCAGTATGTTTCCAGTAGCAAGGTCTGCTAGTTGAATACCAGCTTCTCTAGAGGACCTTATCTGTTTGCTTTTATTTTATAAATAAAAAAAAACATTAATAGTAATGAAATGCAAATGATATTCACGAGTGTGATATAGCCTACACGTAATGATTCATCATGGCGGCTCCCTTTGAACTAGAGTGGAAGAACCCATTCAGAACCTTCCAGAGTACCTAGAGACTCAAAAATTGGTACAGATTTTCGGAAGAACCCGTTTTGCAAGTATACTAAATTTCAGGTTGCTAGCATTAGTGATTAAACAAGCGTAACAATGTAAAAAATATTCCTATAATT